CCCCTGGAGAGCACTTCCGCTCAGCTGGGAAAACTACCAGAGTATGAAAAGTGTCTTTCATTTCCTTTGTCTGTCACATCAGGATTTTTCTGGGAAAAAAAACAAACACTGCAGCCCTGTAGGAAGTACAAAGCTTGAATCGCAAATACTTGTGAAAAGAACAGGTTTCCCCAAAAGCATCTTCACATCATACAGTGGTGTGGCACGGCCCGCAAAACTCAAAAAGCGACAAACGAGCTTCCCTAACAAAAGCCGGGAATGCTGCAGTAGCTTTGTGCTTCCCTAAGAATCCACAAAGGGTTCGTACAGGTGCTTCACTTGATGAAGTATTGTGCTCTGTAAGCTGTACACCTGTCTCATTTTCCTCTCTCACTCAACAGGCTCCTCTTTCACTTGGGACTTCCTGTAAGTGTTCCCTTCCTGTAGGCCAATCAGGGGAAGTCTGAAAGCCAATGACAGCTGGTGTGTCTGTTCTTTTATCTGGGTTAAACACCTCGGACTCTCCACAGTTACCCAGCAATCCACACCCTCTCAGCGCCATCCATCCGTTTTCTAACCCCTTTATGCAACACAGGGCCACAGGAGGGTTGGATTCCAACTAGAGCTGGGCGATAACTCGATAACGATAATCATCGCGATATAATTTTCCTCTATATAATTTTAACAAAAGTTCGTTACATGTTCGATGTATATGTTTATGCTTTGTGCATGATATGCGCATGCGCACAAAATACTGTGCGAGGGCGGGTGCGTGTTGCAGACCGGGCAGCTAACAGATTTGTTTAATGTTTCTGCTGTTTGGAAAGTGTTTGCTGTGTTCTTAAAATAAAGAGTTGTTTAATTTACCAATTAACTGTCTGGTTTCTTCAACTTTCACTCAGGAGAAAAAATCTGCCTTTAAACTTGAAAGAAATAATGATTTGACATTTATCGCGATAATTATCGATTTCGACCGATACGAAATTTTTTATCGTGATAATGTTTTTGGCCATATTGCCCAGCCCTAATTCTAACCCCGAAAAGCAATGGGCCACAAGACAGGACCCCCTCAATATGTATCCCCAAAACTCAGAAATAACAAACAAAGCCCCTGATGCTGTATTGCACTGAACAGCTACTAAGATATCACATATCACAAAAGTTTTGACAGAAGTATTAGTAGTTCTCATATCAAAACAGAACAAGGAATTGTTTCCAACCTGAGACAAAGGGTGTTCCATATTCTACGACACTGCATTGTAAGATTCAAGGCCTCGTTTCATAAGCAAAATAAGCCAGAAATGAGGATCAATGATATTTTTACACTGCTAAATAGCAATTAAGTTTCTAAATTTCTGCATTATAAAAAAGAAAGACATGAGACTAAAAAGTCCATCAAACCCTAGTGCCTTTGGAAAAAAGAATAAGACAGACTGCATGGTTACTGGCATAGGAACAGTTTGACCCGCCATCTGTAAAGGCTTGATGGAAAGGCAAAACAGTACATTGTAAGAACACGTACATGTATGTGCAAGCGTTCAGTATTCACAACAATCACTTAATAGGTGACACTTACTAGACTCCAGCTCCTGTCTAACTCTGAGACTCTTGTAGAGATTCTCTATTCATGTTCCATATGAACACATTTTAATAAGAAATTTGCATTACCTTCACGCTGCTGATCTCTGGAAGGATTTTTTTAAGATAAAAGCATTCACTGCATCAAAAGCTTAGCCTCTTCAGTGGAAGAATTATGTTGATTGCCAAAGAAATCTTAAATGTTCATTTCTAATCGCTTATAATCTTATTGAAAACAATCCAACTGGTTATACTGTATTCACACTGCCTGAAAGTCTGAAGGCTCTCAATTCAAATTCATTTTCAGTGGTCATCAGTGAGCTCTTCACTGATTCTTCTCAAGCCACAGGCTCACAGATTGTCCATCTGCAGCTGTGGAGTTCAGTTTGAAGTTCTTTCTATAGTTGGTCAGCTCTGCTCCAGCTCTCTGCAGTGCCTTAGGCTCTGACTACCTCCTTCCAATAGGCTGCTTGTCATGGTGTGATGTATACAGACAGACTAGGAGATGAGTCTGAGTTTTTCCCCATCCAACTACAGATTTCCCTTACGCTATAGTATGACTAGCAGTCAAGAGCTTCCACAAACCACAGCTTTGTCACAGTGTTATGGTGGGATTAATAATCAAACACCACTGCGGTACAGACACAGAGGATTGTAAATTGAAAGTGTAGCCGTGAAACTAACTTATTGATACAGATATCACTCACAACATGGTAAAACCAGGGCTAAAGCCATACAGCTCTCATGGGATAATGCAACAACAGCACAACAAATAACACATCATGAGACAGTGTAATTAACAACACCGGCATGAGACAGAGTAGTTAGCTCGATAACTACCGGAAAAGGACTGGATAACTACTTCAAAGTGGTCCACAATAATAAATCATGGTAGGCATCCACTGTGGCCACATCTAACTGAGGATGGGCTGGCAAGCACTCCATCTCACGATCGAGACACCAGCAGCCACGAAACTCTGCACAGAGAGGACAAGTGTGTTCAGCAGGTAAACTGTGTTAAAGGTCAATAAACAGTGTTCCCTGCACATCTTGCAGAAAAAGCTTTTTTTCCCCCTTTTGTTTCAGTTCTCAGTCCACAGAAGTCTTCTGTTGGCAACATTTACCATATTTGGAACCGACTTGAAGATGCGTGATTATAATTAACTGACTCTTTCCCACCAAGCACTCCAACTCTGCTGCTCAAACATCTATCTAGGTCACTGATCATGTCTGTTCAATTTTCTCATGCAATCCCTGCTTGACTTTAGTCTTAGGTGCATCAGCTGCTAGTCGGAGAAAAAGACTGCTTGCTTGAACAAACTTATAACTTATAAAGAATGTTTCCCATACTCGTACCATCTGCACTACAAACAGCCATTGTTCTAGGAAGTCATTAATGCAAAAGGTGGCCTTATTTTTTTCTAACCACTGTCGCCTTTTCTCTCTGCTACTGCTAGACATAAAATTGCACCTATTTGTTTCCATGTGCCCAGAATTGAGAAAAAACAGGAACCTGACTTGCAGCCAGGATGTTTATTCTGTTATCAGTGCACAGTGTCAAGGCTCACGTGAGGTATAAAAATGCATTCGTTCCCAT